CACACACACACACACACACACACACACACACACACACACACACACACACACACACACACACACACACACACACACACACAAAGCAACACAGAAGGCCTAAATTATATTTCCTTTATCTGGCTTCCTTCCTTTTGTTCCCTCCTTTCTTCCCGTTTATCACGGGGCTTTGTAAATGCACAGATGCACCATAATTCACTGGCCTTAACTATCCCTCCACCCCACCTTTCCCTGCTTCACACTCAGCCCAAATCCAGAAAAATAGCTTTCATTACGGCTGCGTGACTAAAGGGCACATTCGTCAATGTGGCATGGTCTCTATCTACTGATGCCTTCTGCAGTCTAACCCACCCGCTGGCAGTTGAGCATGTGCATGGCCCCTCCTTTCTTCTCGTCTTGGGGGGGCTCTCCAGCCTTCGGTATTATTATTCTTCGTCCTCACCGTTTGCTCCATTGACTGCCCTTCCCATGCGGACCTCGAGCGCTAATGTCTTGCTACCTGTCCTGCTTTCTCACACAGCGAGAAGGGTATAGTTCTCCTCCTGTGGGAGGGGAGTGGGTGTTGATGGGTAGGGGCTGGCTTTTGCTCATTTCTTCCTTCACTCTGTCTTCCACAGGGAGAGGAGGACGTGGTGGTGGGAGAGGCGACCCAGGAAGATGAATCAAGCATTCTGACCATTCATGATGTGACTCGGGCTCACGCCGGTTTGTACCAGTGTACAGCCAGTAATGGCATAGCGCTCCCTGCCAGTGTGAACGTGCAGCTCGTTGTACAGTGTAAGTTTGTAATGTTCTATTTTCAGTGTCAGAATAAACTCTAAAATATACATGTGATGTTTTCACGTTTATATAAACACGCATGTATTAACACTGCATTTAATTTACTGCAGGAGTCAGAGCTCAGTATTTAATAATCTTTGTTCTATCCGCCACTCAGAAAACCAGCGAGCTTCCTATAAATCTGTTGAGCTCAGTAACCAGAATAATACTGTCTTCCATTCATACTCTGAAGTTGGAATTTTCAAAATTCAAGAAAAGAAAAGTCAAAAAACATCTCACCAAGAATTCAACTTGTAAAATTGAAAAGTCCTCATCATCCTTGACCTTTAACTTCAACGTGACTGCCTTGAGCGTGAAAGGTATAAGGATATCTGCAGTGAAAAACTTCATTTTTCTTCTTTTGGCTAAATTGATCACATAGGAAACATAGTGCCACTGTGTTTGATTACAAAAATGCTGATAAGTAAATGTTGAATGTATTGTTGGTCACTGAGTTCAACAAGTCTTACTGTCTTTTCCAGCTTGCAACTAGAATGTGGTGAAGTTGTGTTTTCCAGGAAACAAAAACACTTTGCTCAGCTGAAGTCACACTCAATACATAGATCATTATCTTAAGAAGTAGAATGAAATGATTTATTCAACTGAGGGTATAGGCTGTTTTACCACAGGTGTCCACCATCATGAGGAGATGTTTTATGCAAAAACTATCAGTTTTGTCAAAAAAAAAAGACTTACCGTATTTATTCAAGTATAATACGTAAAATTAAATTCATAAAATCATCCATAAAGTTGGGGGTAGTACTATACTCGGATAAATACTTTTACTTATGTATTTTAACTGAAATATCGGCTTCATTCACAAAATGCCTGAGTCCGGAAATGAGACCGCGTCGTAAAAAGCAGTTGAAACGAGCTTACCTCTGACACTCCTCCATGCTTCAGAGCGAGATAATAACAGATCCAACAGGCGACATGATGTGAAAAAAAGTTGAAAAAGGTAGTCCTGCACCTTAGTAATGATAACGAACCAATGACATTAGCGTGTGACCGGGCCGCTCCTCGAACAACAACAAACACATGTTCGTCTGTAATGGCTGCCATCTACCAGTGTTCTGAAAAAGTTTGTATCCTTGAAAAAATGTTTCCCCACCAGAGGGGGCGCTCGCGAGTAGGAAGTAATCTGCTTTTCCCCCACAAGATGGCCCAAATCTCATGTGAAGTCTCTGACTTTTGTGTTGGCACATCCTGGTGGACTATGTGTAAAATGCCAGAATTCATAAGATGCTGCTACAGCTGATATACTGTATATTTGTTGTCAAAATACCTTTTAGTACAYATGTTGTTAAAATAAAATGAACAGTCCAATGATCATTTTACTGATGTGTATAAAGACTGCAAAGGCTGAAAAATCTTGAAGTCTGTGTGAAATTGGAGGTAGTTTGAGAATTAACTTTTTTATGCTTTTTAGGCTCAAAAAAGTGGGGGGGGGGGGGTCGTATTATACACGAATAAATACGGTAATTGATTATTTTTGTGTGGTGATGATTTAACACATTCAGATCAGTGTTGAGTTTGTACTAGTGCCTGGTTTAATGAATTACATTCTTACTGATGCCTCCTTTCTTTTTGTGCAAGGCCGCCATGTCAGCTATTGAGGTCAAGGCATGTTGGGAAACTCTAATTTTCCAAGCTGGAATTCCAACTTTAACTGTTTTTGTTTCTGATTTTGAGTTCAGAAACTCTGACTCTGTAAAATGGGGAATGCACCAAAAGTCTTGTCATCTTTCTGCTTTCTGCTTTGTGTTTTTATGCAACTGTTTTTGTCTTAAGTCAAACCTGGAGTTCAAAAAGGCCCCCAGTGGAGGAAGATTGCGAGTAGAGGCGATGGCACCACTACAGCTGAACTGGTCTGTCAGGCGGAGGGCATTCCCCGTGTCGACTTCTCCTGGGAAAAAAACGGAGTACTCATGGATTTGGCAAACCCCAGGTCAGAAAGCAGTCGTTTGCATTTATGTTATTAGTTTTGGTGCTGCTGTCAGCATTACATATTGATGAAGCCACGTTATTAGATTAGGTTTTCCCCCAAATGTAATTTATTAGTTTTGCTTTTTTTCTTGTTATTTCGCCAAGCTTAAGTGGATTTTCTACTTTCACAGTGCCTGCTGTCTGTCTTTTCAATATTATTCTTTTCCTCTTTGTGTGTATGTGTGTGTTTGTGTGTGTGTGTTTGTGTGTGTGTGTGTGTGTGTGTGTGTGTGTTTGTGTGTGTGTGTGTGTGTGTGTGTGTGTGTGTGTGTGTGTGTGTGTGTGTGTGTGTGTGTGTGTGTGTGTGTGTGTGTGTGTGTGTGTGNGTGTGTGTGTGTGTGTGTGTGTGTGTGTGTGTGTGTGTGTGTGTGCACGGGGTTATGAACGTTCATGCTGCAGGTATGAGGAGAGGACAGTGAAGGAGGGCTCCTTCCACACCAGCACACTGCGAGTGGTAAATGTGAGTGCAACTCTGGACTACGCTGTCTTCAGCTGCATCGCTCGCAACTCACTCGGGGAAGACAAGTTAGACATCCAACTCGTCAGCACAAGTACTGTATCTGCATACATTTCCATTTTTTTGCATGGGTGTGTGTTTTTCTGGGGGACTGTGGTTCCTCTCCAGTGGCAACCTCAGTTGGTGTCTTAAAAAAAACTTTCACTGCCAAAAATTCAGCTTCTTAGGAACCCAGAAAACCTCGTTTAATTTTCCTGAATTATTTTTGGAATAATCTGTTTTCTTAAAGACTTGTGTTTTCTACAAACACTTTATCCTTCAGTTTACTTAATATTGCTTTGGACGTCTGCCAAGCACAAACCATACGATTCCCAGAGAGGATTTTTAAAAGAATGGAATGAAGTAAATCCAGATACAAACAATAAAAAAGTGATCGCCTCCTACTAGTATATCATTGACCATTTCTTGTTGGTGTGGGGCAGTGTAGTGGGGTGTTCACCTCTCTAACTTGTGTTTTTAGGCTTTTGGAGTGCAACTTTTTCTTCTCTTTCATAAATAAAAAGGTTTTCTTTGTTTCCCACTGAAGTGGAATGTCAAGGGAAAAGGTTGTGTGCAAAGCTAATCGTCTACAGCAGTGTTTCCCAAAGTTGGGGTCGGGACCCAGAGTGGGGTCCCGAAACATTAAGGTGGGGTCCTGAAAAGATTTTCTGAACTAATTACATTTTTTGCCATAGTTGTTACAAAGGAGTGAGGTTAGTATATTTAAAATGGATAAATGTAGCATAATAAATATTGTTACTATGCCCACGTTTAGTTGGCCTGAAACAAATGTTTGGAGGCACTCTTCTACTGTTTTGTACTATTTTGTGGGTCAAAAGCTGAAACGTTTGGGAACCACTGCACTTTGATTCCCAAAGTTGGGCTTGGGACCCAAYTATGGGTCATGAAGCACCTTGTATAATCTCCAGAAATCAATTTAAAGGGACTAAAATAATTGCTGATGTAATATTTTCCCTATATTTATTACAAAAACACAAAATAAGTAAAAATAAGTATTTCTATTTGTGTATAAGCGGTTTAGATTGTCAAAAAGCCTGTGTTTTTAGGGTTATTAATGAAGTTCGTGTACTCAGACCAGTAATATTTGGGGTCACAAGTTTTTGCCATGAATATTTTGTGGGTCAGAAGACAAAAGGTTTGGGAACCACTGGTCTACAGAATATGGAACAGGAGTTTTATGGACTAAGGTGTTGGGAATGTTGAGAATATTGTTTGAGAAGGATGGTTGTGGACAGGGAATATCTGGGCCAGCCTAGGCCCGGATGTATGAGTGTGTCTGCAAGTTGAGAGTGGGACAGACTTTGTGGCATGTGAATAGATACGTTGAATAAAATAAACCAGAAAAGACAAACTTAGGTTTTTCATGTTATGTATTGGGTCTGTTCTAAAAAAGTGCAACGCTGTTCAGATGTCAACCAATGCTCTCGAGTTTTTGTCCTCTGTCTTAAGTGGTGGGCACAGTTCCCCTAAAACACTAAAGCCCTAATAGGGGAACTAATTCCCTGATTAGTGCTTTAGGGATTTTGCTCATTTTAAAATTAGTGGATTAGCACTTGCTAAATTTATAGGTTAAATTTAGAAGCACTAACTGAGGTCTATAAATGTTATTGGTCAATGTTAATGTTAACAGCTGAGGGTGAAAGCTGTCAATCATTTTGTTCATATGTGTGTCATTTATCCACCAGGTGACAATATACTGTATTAACTCAAATACAGCTGAGGAATGTCAATGATAAGTCATAAGAGAGCAACATGACAACATGTGACTCGTTGTCTGTTGAAGAATGTTCATAGGTTGACTGTTATTTTAGTGCTTTAGAATCAGCATTCGCCAAAACTTTCAGTGCATTAGTGCTTTAGAATTAGGGGACCTAAATATTTGAGTTAGTGTTTTAGGGCTAGTGGAACTAATTTTTAGATTAGTGCTGCCCACCACTGGTCTTTTGGTTAATGTTTACATGCTCTCCATCAGGGGTGCCCAAACATTTTCACTGAGAGGGCCAAAATTAAAATCATTCTGGGGACCAAATGTAGTAATAGATTACATGAAATGCAAATATTTCTTAAGTAAAAATTGTTTTATTTTTATGAATAAGCTAGCAGCCGGTGCAGTTGCTCATATTTTTTTTCAGCCCATGGACATGGAGAAAATTCGACATATGCTCATGCAGCAAAGGCTCATGGGACTTTTCACAAATTAAAATTTGAGTATATGTGGTATAAGTGTGGTATGAGTATAAGGTGTGCAAATCTACATGTGTGCTTAAATCTAATCTAAATGTCTCCTGTAGTTACTTGTATTTTATGTTTAATTTTAACATAATTCAAAGATAAAGTGATTACCATGAGTAAAGACTATCTGACTTCAGCTCCTTGTACCTATAGTTGGACCAATGGCCGAAAAGTGGAGATATATTGTATAGGACAGGAGTTTACAGGTGCTGGTCATAAAATTAGAATATCATGAAAAAGTAGATTTATTTCAGTAATTCCATTTAAAAAGTGAAACTTGTATATTATATTCATACATTACATACAAACTCATATATTTCAAATGTTTATTTCGTTTA